GAGGCAGATCGACCGTGAAACTAGACAGCCCATTAATGGTTCTCCTATTAAAGATGGCTTGAGACCATTCTCCAGGAATTCACAGAAAGTGATTGAGGCTGTAATGCAATCTACAGCAAGAGGAAAGGTACTTTCGATATAGTGTTAACACTTCTGCAAGTTTTTCTGTCATTTCTGTGGAGTCTGATCTTTTCTTGACAGTCTTAATTTCCTTTTATAGTTTTATTTTACATTTATATTTTATTATACTGTGGATGTTCAGGTTGAGACGATAAGACAAGGATATTTATCCAAGCGTTCCTCAAACTTGAGAGGTGATTGGAAGAGAAGATATTTTGTTCTTGATAGTCGAGGAATGCTGTACTATTATCGCAAACCATGGAATATGTCTTCTGTAAGTTGCTGCCTCAAAGAGGGTCTGTACATTGTCAGTGTCTTCTTGTCCTTCCTAGTGTTAGAACTTTGAGCTTGTTTTTTCAGGCAATTGGGAGTCAATCTACCATATACAGGAGTACTCCCTCTGAAAATGGTTCTAGTCTGCTGAGTCGGTGGCTTTCTTCACATTACCATGGGGGTGTGCATGATGAAAAATCTGTTGCACGCCACACTGTAAACCTACTGACATCAACAATTAAAGTTGATGCAGATCAGTCAGATCTGAGGTTCTGCTTCAGGATTATATCACCAACAAAAGTTTACACCTTGCAGGTACAACTTCAAACTTCCGTTTGAATACATGATTAGAGTTCTCTCTTACTGAATCTTATAATGTGGCTACAAACCTTTCCATTGCAAATATTTCTTAATTACTTAATCTGATATGTACATTTATGTTTTGCATCAGACTCTTGAGTGTAGTAACTTGTCAATGCAGGCAGAAAATGCGGTAGACCAAATGGACTGGATTGAGAAGATAAATGGAGTAATTGCTTCATTATTAGCTTGTCAGTCACCTCAGAAGGTAATTACTACGATTTTTGTTAAGAAAAATAAATTAAATGGGTTGGTTCATTTTTGTTTGGGTGAATCCACTTAACTTCTTCTGGGATTGTTATGATGTCTGGTGGTTTATTTTGTGCTGTTTTTCTGCCTTCTAGTTTGAGGCAATTAAAAATTTTATGGAGCTCAAATATTCTTATGCATATCTTATTAGTATGTCAATCGTTGTAAATAAGACTTAGGTTATTAGGAATTTGTTAATCCGTTCTAGGAGACAGTGTTGCCGATACAAACATCTATAGACAGACTGTTTGGCTATGTGCTGTAAACAAAAGGGATAGCAAGTTCTTTCTAGTTTCAATCCATAAAATGTCTACGAAGCATTTTATTTATTTATGTACCTAAAATATTATCATCTGTCAAATTGCAGCATCTTTCTAGCCCCAAAGGAAGTGGTGATAATTGGTCTGCCAGCGATACCGGTTCTTTAACTGATTCTTTTCATGCTGATCAGACTGAAATTAGGGAATGTACGTCTGATAATCTCATGTCTGGGGTTCACTTATGTTTAGCCGGAAGTTTACAACAGCAAGAATATAGTTCAAAGAGTGAAAAACCAATTTGTGTCTTGGCAAGAGTACCTGGAAATAATAAATGTGCTGATTGTGGTGCACCTGAACCAGATTGGGCATCTCTAAATCTGGGTGTTCTTATATGCATTGAATGTTCTGGTGTTCATCGTAATCTGGGGGTGCATATATCAAAGGTAAATCTTCTCGGTCATATTTTTGAAAACTTACCCCCTTCATTTCTGAGAGGTGCTGTTTCAATTCTTTTCGAAGAAATTTTGTGCAAGACATTAGGAATTTTTATGTGTGCAGAACCTTATGGTTGTCCCTTCTATTTCTGTTAATTCACATGAATCTTGTGGATGACCTATCATGTAGGTGAGATCATTGACACTTGATGTTAAAGTATGGGAACCATCAGTTTTAGCTTTGTTTCAGTCTCTGGGCAATACGTATGCAAACTCAGTCTGGGAAGGGTTGTTGCATCCAGAAGGCAAATTTCCAACTGAAGATGCACAGTTGGGGTAAGGAATAAAATATCAGTTTAATTCAAAATCTGTCTCTTTATATGCTAACAAATTGGTCGGATTTTTCTTAGAGCTTCCAAGTCCAGTCACAAAAAGTTTCTTGTAAGGAAGCCCAGCCAGAATGATCAAATTTCGGTGAAGGAGTTGTTCATTCATGCAAAGGTATTGCTCTATTTGTTCTGTCTTTTCTTGTCACTTTTCGATTTTTCTTTCTCATCTTTAATCTTTTGTGTTCAATAAATGACAAGAACAGTTTGAGGGTTGTGAGGAATATTTTGTTGAGCTGGTTTAGAAGCATTTAAATAGTGTTTCTTACCATTAAAATTATAGGATTGAGTTGAATCTAGTATTTATGTGGTTGGAAAAGAACAGAAATCATTTTGAACGAACAATTTAGTTCCTTCATCAACAAGTACAGTCCTAACTTTTTTATGCATCATATTATAAACTGTTAGGAATTCAGTTTTTCTTTTCTTTTTTATTAATGACATAGTTAAATCCAATTTCCTTAAAAGTTTAATAAATGAGGAAAAACTTAATACTATTATTTATATATTAACATGCCTTTTTATTCACATGCCTGTTAGGCTGAAAGATCAAGTACAAATTTACCGTAACCTGTGCTGAAATTAATTGACAAAAAAATGAGAGGAGTACATGGCATCGGTGATATCCTGGGCATGCCTGGTGCGCAGCTGTGTGCACGTATGCACGCGCGCCGCCTCCTGCCCATGTGTTTGCACGGGCAATGATCCCGTGGGATCCAGGTTGCTCGTGGTATTCCTGCTTCTTGCGGGATTGTGCATTCGGGAAGTGTTTTCTTTGGCTATCCTTGCTCACATCACAACTGTATTATCCTTACCATTACCTCTCTCCTCATTGGCTGAGGTAATAGTACTTAGAGGTTTGCTTTTCCACTGAAGTCAGTGAGAAATATCAGAATATTTTCATTAGTTTTCTCCTACATTTTCCCGCCCTCTCTATCTCCCTATCTTCTCTCCTTAACCTCCTTTCACTCTCCCTTGTTCTCCCTGCTATTTCTGGCATGGTTGCTGAAATCTATGAGCCAGAATCCTGACATATTTTTAGCCTTACAGACTGCTAACATTTTTTTATTGACTCATAAAATCTCATGTTATTATAGAAAAGAAATTTCTTCATTTAATTTTATTTTTGCAGTCACTCTTTTCCCATAAATACCGGAGTTGATGACATAATAATTAGACTAAAATGCAATTATTTTTGTGTATGTAATTTACACATGAATTGTTGACATTTTATCAGTAATTAATTGTTAATCAAATTAAAAATTTGTTTTAAAATATTACTATTACCAAAATAATATTAGTAAGTAATTACATATAATAGTCACGGTATTGTTTCATTCAGTGATAGAAAACTATTGTCTAACGAGTACTTCTTTAGTTATACATTGTGTTTTGTACCAATTACCAAACATGTAAAACCAAAGAAATTTGTTTAGGCTAGTGTGTACCAAAATACCTGGGTTACCTCATATTTTCCTATTTAATTTCATGTTGTTCAATTATTTCATTGACAAGAATGTTCCTTTGGATGTAATTACCATTTATCAGTAATATATTTGAGCTGGTTTTGTACTCTCCTATTCTAGGTGATCTATGGCGCCGTTTGTGACTTTGTGTTGCTTTCCTTATGAGGTTGCTAAATTTTTTATATTGATATTAGAAGGATTGATAATTGATTAGTCTATTTGCCGATCTTCTAAGCTAGTAACGCACCAGAAAAAGAAAAATTGGAGCCTTGGACTTAGATTTTTACTTGTCTGAAAAACACAAGTACAACAGAGCCCTAGGGTAGACAGCCACTTAGAGACTCCATCTTGCCAATTGGTTCCCTTCCAGGCCTATTCTAGGCATGGCAGTATGTTTATGGAGCTTTTTGTTGTCCTTAGATCTGAGGATTGATGCATGCGGTCCACCTGGGGCTGTGCAGCCACTAGCGGCCATCTCCTAAAATCCTTTTTCCAATACCCTCATGTTAGTGATACCGTCTTGTTGACGGCTAGTCCTATCATGCCTCGTTGGAGACATGTTTCCTGCATAATTTCCGTCCTTGGGTTAGGTTAAAGAAAAACACTATAGCCCTTAAAAACTTTATCTTCAAGATTTCTTTCCTATACTAAGAGAGGCCCCATTCTCTTAAGCGCATGTTAGCATTATCCTTGTTCATCGTACTACTGTTTCCCCACTCCATTAGGTGTTTGAGTCAGGTGTATTAATATTAAACTTATTTTCCCCACGCCCTCTTTTTATGTCCCATCTATGAATGCTCTGCTCAATAAGCCATAATGTTTTGAACTTTTGGAGTTGGATGCCTGAATTATTTGAATCTTTATGCGATTGCAGTATGCAGAGAAGGTTTTTGTTCCCAAAATAAAGGACAGCCAGCACCTCCTCTCAGTGGCGCAACAGATGTGGGAAAGTGTCTGCGCCAATGATAAAAATGCAGTTTACAGCCATATTATCTGCTCTGAAGCAGATGTTAATTCTATCCATGGGCAAGCATCTTATAGTACAAAATTACCTCTGTCCAAAGTGATGCAGTTGGAAGTGAACGAAATCCATGAACGGAAGTTTGATTGCTTTGCAGGTGATTCATTGGGCAAGTGCCCAAGCTATTCAAAATCATCAGAAAAAACTGAAGATCAGGTCATTGAGGAATGTTCTGATGGCTGTTCTCTGCTTCACCTAGCCTGCCTAACTGCTGATATTGGCATGGTGGAGCTACTCTTACAGTATGGCGCAAATTTGGATGCTTTAGATTCAAGAGGTCGGACTCCACTTCATCATTGTATTATCAGCAGGAGATATGCAATCGCAAAATTGCTACTTACGAGGTTATTCTTTGTTTCTGTGAGATTTGTTTTCTCCATATTATGCTTTTCTTGATTTTAAGAAGTTGGAGCAGAGAGTGGCTTTCCTTTTCGTTGATTTTCTTTATTTCCATTAATTGATTTGGAATTCTGTTGTGGTGAGGAAATCTTTATTGGCAGGTCAAACCTGTTTCCATTTTTTTGCTTTTACAATATCAGCATATTTTCTCCAAATATTTCACTTTTAACACCATATCCTCATCGTCAAAAACTGGTTCACTTTTCTTTCACAACAGTCCCCAGGCCAATTATCCCGATAAGAGCAATGCTTTACTTTATCAAGTTAAATAGACACTGTCAAGTAAACTAACATCTATAGCTTTCGCCTTCTGAGTTGACCATCTCAATGGAAAATGAGACTGTAGAATCATCTTTATTCTTATAATCAAATATGTAATTCTTGAACTGAATAGTAGCGTGGAATTTACAGAAGAGGATGTAATTTAGTCCAGTTATGAAATTAACAAGCTATGTGGTTTGATTGCAGGGGAGCTGATCCACAAGTCGCAGACAGAGGAGGTAATACGCCCCTCCACTATGCATCAGAAACAGATCTTGCTGACAAGGAGATCGTTGCATTCTTGGCAGACATAAGGAGATGATATGCTAGAGGAAAAATACTGAAAAGAAACGAAGAATGAGAAGTGTCAGGTACCGAAACCTCTGTCCTACGCTCCAGGAGATTGTAATGAACATATATGCAGATTGAATTTGGTGTTGAATGAATTCCAATCAAAAGCAAATTGTGATCCTTGATTTTCTGCGAGCTTATATACACCCCCCCTTCTGCTTGCGACAATTTGTTAAATAGGATAGGATCTTTATGGAGGGTTAGGGAGTCTTTATGTTTTCCAGCATAGTTTCTACCTTGTATATATATATATATATATACATATGTTTATTTTGAGCACGGTGAGGTTGAAAAATCACAGTACCAAGACACCGTGCAGCTGATGTCAGTTGAGAAAATAGATGTTATTTTACATCATGAGAAAGAAGTTGGTTGATGAGATGATTAGTATAAATTAGATTTCTGTTTGAAATAGCTCGTAAAGAATAAGGAGTTTCTATAAGAAAACAAAACTTTATCCCTATATATATAGATATTGGATAAATGCCCCGGGTGTATCAGTGGGAAACTCACTGAATCTATATTATATTCAGGAAGGTGATAGTTTAAGTAATTTAATTTTTTATTAAGTAAATTCAAATTTACCTTCATTAGGCCCCATTTAATGATTTTAATGAGATGGTAACAACTAGACGCTCCCTAATTACTTTCTACTAATTAAATTTGAACCAGTGTTTGGTTCTGAATTTAAACCCATCTGTTGAAAAATTACACAAGCAGGCGATCAGTAATAATTCCACTTTATCCCATTAATAATTATATATAAATAAAAGAAACACGCATATATTTGGATATAAAATTATCGATTTTTAATTTTTTTAAATATAAATTTCTTCTGAAAAATAACTTCTATTCGAAACAAAAAAATCCAAAATGATGCCTGCTCAGTAAAGCAAGGTAGCAACTTGTTCAGTCTACGTCACACCGCTGTCTCATTTACTACGCTAATAATTTATGTTGTCATCCATCAGCTTTATCAAATAGTTTATTTCAAATGTATATATATTTACAAAAACTGCAGATTTTATTGCATGCTTCAATGCATTGCCAGTTTAATAATATATATATATATATATTATTAAAATAGGACCATTCTCCGTATAATAAGTTGGCAGAAATTTTTAGTTTCTTTTTCCAGTAAATTTGCATACTTCTCTGCTTCTATCGCTCTCTCCTGCAAACTCCCTGCTGCAACAACAGCATACCCTCGTTTCTCCCTCTCTCTCGAAACGAATCAGTGTTATGTCATCGCCCAACAATCACAGCCGCCCGATCGACCCGAACAGTGGGTTCGACCCGCTAACCAGTACCTACCGGAGCCTGAGACCCTTCGTCCCGCTCCCTCCACCCAAACAACCTCTATCCGTCGTCCAATACTCCTTCTCTCTGCTCCGCTCCTCCGCCATCTGCACCGCCACCACCTTCCTCGTCGATGCCTCTACCGGCCACGGCCTCTCCCACACCGAGTTCCTTTACCGGACCAACTCATTAGCGCGGTATCTGCAAACCCGCTACTCTCTCTCCCGCAACGACGTCGCTTTTATACTCGCACCTCCTTCCCTCCACGTTCCCGTTCTCTACTTCTCTCTATTGTCTCTAGGCGTCGTCGTCTCTCCCGCCAACCCGCTTGGATCCAACTCAGAGGTCTCTCACCAGGTCCGCCTCAGCAGACCAGTCATTGCTTTTACCACCTCCCAAGTTGCCGCCAAGCTCCCTTCCCTCCCAAAAGGAATAGTAATCATCGACTCGCCCGAGTTCATTTCATGGTTGACTCAGCCCTCCGGCCATGGCGGAGACAGCCTAGGATTCATCAACCGCGTCCAGGTAAGTCAGTCGGACCCCGCCGCGATCCTCTACTCTTCGGGCACAACCGGGCGGGTGAAGGGCGTGTTGCTGACACACCGTAATTTGATAGCTGTATCCACCGGGTTTTACCATTTCCGATTCACCCCTGATCCGGGACCATCGCCGCACGCCGTATCTCTCTTCACACTTCCTCTGTTTCACGTGTTTGGGTTTATCATGCTTTTGAAGGCAGCGGCGGCCGGAGAGACGCTAGTGTTG